AACATAAAAAAAATAAACAGAAAGAAAAAACTTTTCATCTTAAAATGTGTTTTATATGAAAAATGAATAAAAAGTTCAAAACAAGTCATGAGTTTAAGTATCCGGCTCGAAGGCACCGTTAGTGGATCCTGTTGGTCTCTTGGGGAGAGGTCTGCCTCTCCTCCTGGTGCTGGTCAACCCTGAAACATCTGCATCTGAAAATGTGGCCTGAGAGGCCAGTGCAGGGACTCCTGACTTTTTCACCTTCTTTTTCCTTCTAGCTCTGTGGACAAACCATAACTTCATTATTTGTAAATCCTAATAGAACAAGTCAGTCAGTAAAAAGAACTGTGTTGTCTTGTTTGCTTTAAGAAGACCAACACTTCAACATCAGAGGCTCATGCAGTGTTTAGTTCCCAGGCTCCTGTAAATATAGTCGAAGAGTATTTAAGGGAAGTCACTTACCTGGTATCACTCAGCTCAGGTTCAGTGTCAGAGAGGGTCGGCTCAGAAAGAAACCTGAGTTCCCCAGAAGAACTAATTGCAGCAGATACCTTGGAAAGTAGAAATAGACAACAACCAGGAGAAGGACAGTAAAGGGAGTGAAACACCGCTCACCAGACAGAAAGTTGTTGACAACATTTCAACCACATGCTTCTACCTGAGGCAACACACTCATGAGGGAGACCATGTGTGGTTCAATTGATATTATTTGTCTTCAAATGAATTCAAGTCGACCAAAGCCATAGTTCTTCTAAAAGGTAAAAGCCACGTTTCAGGCCGGCAGCTGGTGTTAAAAGACAGAGGGGAAGTGAACCTTTACCAGAGAGAACCAGCCACCATAGACACAAGAGGAAGATTCAGCAGATGGACAAAAGTATCGGGACACACACATTAAACATCAAATTCAGGTGTCTCATTCAGTCTCATTGCCATCGGTTGGACTAGGCTCCTTAGTTCCAATGAATGGAAATCTCAATGCTTCAGCTTACCAAGACATTTTGGACAATTCTATGCTTCCAACTTTGTGAAAGGTTCTGTTCTGTACTATTATGACTTTGCTCTAAGGTCCATACAAACATGGTTGGGTGAGTTTGGTGTGGAAGAACTTGACTGGCCTACACAGAGCCCTGACCTCAACCCCAACAAACACCTTTGGGATGAACTAGAACTGAGATTGCGAGCAAGGCACTGTCATCCAACATCAGTGTCTGATCTCACACATGCTCTTCTGAATGATTAGGCAAAGATTCCTACAGACACACTCAAACATCTTGTAGAAAGATTTCCCTGAAGAGTGGGAGCTCTTACAGCAGCAAAGGGGGGAGCACCTCCATATTAATGTCTACGGTTTTAGAATGGCATAAAAGCTCCCATAGGTGTAATGTTTTGGTGTCCCAATACCTTTGTCCATATTTGTATCAGGTGTCTGAAAATGCAAACCCCATCACAGCCACACCCTGTTTCAACTGTTAGTCCAAAGAAATACAAATTTAAATCAACTCTGTTATTCCATCTTCTTACCCTGGTTGGTGTTGACCTCTCGACAGTCCCTTCAGACGAGGCTGCGTGTGCGTCGACGGACTGAGCGACCTCTTCACCAAAATCTCCTACAACGATAAAATAAGTCATATGTAGTGGGTTCATTTACTTTGTGAAAAAAGTGCAAGAACACATCATCCACTTACTCTGATCAGCAACATAAGATGCCAGAAAATATCCCTGCTGTCCATTGACCAGGCGTCCGAACCACCAGTTGTCGTTGTCTTTGTACAGCACGTGGATGACATCACCGCGGCGTATGGTCAGCTCATCAGACCGATTCGCTCTGTAGTCATAAAGCGAGACAACCTCGGAGACAAACACAGAGGTGGATTATAAACATGAGGTAATAACGTGGATTAGAGGTTGCATGTGAGTGAGGTCACAACTTCAGTGGACACTTACTACTTGTTGCACAGGAGCAGAATCTGTTTCCACATGTGCCCCTGAAGAAAAGTCGTCAGTAAGAGTCTGGAGGAGAAAATAAGAACATTCTTAAGTTATTGCTTAAGGGAGGATAAAATAAATAATCACAAGGGGAACAGGATGAGTGGGTTCTGTTTAAATCAAAGAAATAAACAGAACCAAAGGAGGACTCGAGAAAAACAGAGAAACAATTATTTATCTATATTTAAAACAAAAATGCAAATAAAACTCAAACTCAACTCGATCATCTGCTTCATAAAAGTTAAATCATCTGACGGACTGTGAGGATTGTTTCATATGTGCAGTTTTGTTCATTTTCAGAATGAAAAAGGAAAAAAAAGACAAATAATAGAGAAGAAAAACCGCCTTACCGACTGCAGCCTGAGAGATGAAGCTCCTTTTAGACGCTGACCCACTGAGGTGAACCTGCCTGTCATTAAAAGAAAAAAAATACTTTACTACTTACAAAGAGTGAGCATAAATATGTCAACACAAACAGTGACTTGTGTTTACAGGGATCTCTTACAAATGCATGTCAAAATCACAAGAGGTCCTTCTCTTTCTCTGTGTATGTAGTTCATGCTTCAGGAGACTCTTAACCCTGATGCTATACTTTGTTCAGTCATAATCTTTGGAAAATATTTGACCTTTGAAATATTTGAGCTCTTGTAGTAAAGCCAGGCATTGCTTCAAGACAAACCACTACGTGATTAATTGAAACAGGCCACTTACGACTTTGTGTGCTCAGCGCTGCCTGGGGGATAAGCTGCTCCGCCACAGAACCAGAGAGCTGCAGCTTGGAGTGGGGCGACAGGAGAGAGGGAGGTGGTAATGAGGCATTTAATCCCGTCTGAAAAGAGAAGAGCTGGAGTTCAGTTTATTTAACTTTCAAAAGAGCAGTTATTTAATAGCAACGTAGCTCCGTAGTTCTATAAAGTTACTTCTGTTATTTCATTCCTGAAAACCAAGTTGATTTGGACAGCAGTTATAGAAATTCAATTCAATGTTGCATGACTGGTCTTTAGACCAAGTGTACAAAGGAACATTTAGGAATTACTGATCGAAATACTAACTGCGCCACCATCTGATGTCAAGCTCCTCCCCGTTTGAATAAAGTCCATTTTGTCTGCAAAGCACAAACATGAGACAAAGTTTTTGCCTTGAAGAATGAAGAGACGACAGTGTTGCACAAAAAGATGAATCCAGATGTAGTGTGCAATGCTCATCATACAGTACCTTGCTCATACAGGTATCCAGAAATTGAAGACCTTCGTGGTTCCTACAAATGTTTTGAAAGGCTGAGTTTTTTGTGCATACTTTCTGACGGTAATGATGACTTTAAGCAACACTAAGCAAGTATATTTCAAATTAATAGAGGCTGCATATTTACAAGGACTGAGTCCAGTTGTTCTTTAACACACTGCATTTTCAGTGCAAGTCTTGCCGCTTGTGCAAACTGATCCATGGCCGAGGCAGCAGATCTGTCCTGTAACACCAGTGGATCCGGAGTGTTTCTGACAGTTCGGGTGTCTGTAGACGCTGATCTGCTCGCTGCTTTTATATTGTGCACTTCCAGCTGGGACACTGTGGGGAACAGGAAGACAAAGTTGTAGCTCCGTGTACTTCAAAATCTACGCTTTGCTATGGAATGACTCTTCACTAAATAATTAACATTCAGCGACTGGAGCCACAGATAAAACTTGTATTCATCAGGGTTTATTTACAAACCTTTGCGGTCATACAGGTACACGTGGACGGGCTGGCTCTGACCAAAGGCACAGAAAGCAACCATGTTCTCGTGAGGGTGGAATGACACACAGTGGAGGGCGGTGGGGTAACAAAGCTCAGAGTACACTGCAACTTGGTCACCTGGGAAGAAAAAAAACAACAGTAGAAAACTAACAAATCTGTTCAAAACTCACTGGCTCCTTCCTTACAGGAAAAAAAGGGCGTGATCCTAACCTGTGTCTGTATTCCAGACGTACGCCATCCCATCCTCACTACCAGAGAAGAGGAAGTTCCCACATGGTGTGAAAGTGCTATAAATTCTCTCTCTGTAGTTCGTGGCTCCAGTGTACTTCTTTACAGCCAGACTGAGAAAGAACATTCATCAAAAATCTATATTTAGATTCAAACAGAACACATCATAATACAGGAAACACTATGATACATTCACATGTCATCTAATTTTTTACATTTTATATAAGTAATGCATCTTTTGTCTCTTTTTTTTCTTTCCTGATTGGACTTATAGAATGTTGTCATATTTACATCCTCAGGTCCATCATCCTCAGGACACTGTCTTTGGCGTGGACGAGCAGGCACCGCCCGTTTGGATGAAGCTGCAGCATGTTGATGGGAATACCACGGAGGTCACTCTCATCAATCTTCTGCCGATTGACAACACAGAGAATGTGAGGTTACAGTTAAACATTTCTATAAAGTCTCTACATTTTTAATCAGATCATGATACAGTTTGTGAAATGACCAATACCTTCTCTATACACCAGCGATGACATGGCTGATGCCTGCTGTCATTTACTGCAGTTTTCCAGACAATGATGACGCCTGTGTTGTCTGCAGAAAACATTCTCATCCCTAATTACCACAAATAGAG